GGCGACAGAGTGAGACTCTAACTCAAAAACAAAAACAAAAACAAAAAAATCAGCCAGGCAAGGCGGCGTGTGCCTGCAGTCCCTGCTACTTAGGAGGCCAAGGCAGGAGGATCACTTGAGCCCAGTTCGAGTGAGCTATGATTGCACCATTGCATTCCAGCCGAGGCCACAGAGCAAGATCCTGTTTTAAAAAAAAAGGCAGGGAGGCCAGCGCAGTGGCTTAGCCTGTAATCCCAGCACTTTGGGAGGCTGAGGTGAGAGGACTGCCTGAGCCCAGGGGTTCGAGACCAGCCCGGGCAACTTGGTGAGACTTTGTCTCTACAATAAAAATCACAAAAACTAGCCAGGCGTGGTGGCGTGCGTCTGTAGTTCCAGCTGCTCAGAAGGCTGAGGCGGAAGGATTGCCCAAGCCCAGCAGGTTTAGGCTGCGGTGGCCGTGAAAGAGGCACTGCGCTCCAGCCTGTGTGACAAAGAGTGAGACTCCAACTCAAAAAAAAAGGTAGGGCTTGAAAAGACATTTCACACATGGCCAGCAAGTATGTGAAAAGACACCTGACATCAGGGAATCGCGAATCAACACAAGGAGAGACCACTTCACATTCACTGGGATGCCTCGAATCAGTCAGAAAGAGTAAGGGCTGGTGAGCACGTGGAGAAATCAGAACCTTCAAACTCTGCCAGCAAGAATGTAAAATAGTGCATCCATTTGGTAAATTAGCCTGGCAGCTCCCCCAAAATGATTCAACACCAAGTTGCCACATGACCTAGCAAGTCCACTCCTCCTAGATCTACACCCAAGCGAAATGAAAGTGTGTTTCCACACACAATGCTTTATAGCAGCACTACTGACAGCAGTCAAAAGGTACAAACAACCCAAACGTCTCCTAATGGGTAAACAAATAAACAAATAAGGGTCTGGTGGGACAAGCGGAGTCCCACTGAGCACTAAAAGGAATGAGGTGCCAAGATACGCTACAGTGTGGACAAAATCAAAAAACTTGCCGAGTGAAAGGAAGGTCTTCACAAAGGAGCTCTCGCTGCGTCCAGTGAAAAGGTGTGAAACTGACTGCAGGGAGGACTGCTCATACCACCGTGTCCTAAAAATCTCTGAACTGCACACTTTAAGTGGATGAACTCTGTGACATGGGAGTTGAAATCACAGTAAGACTTCAGAAAATACAAAGCACACGTGATGGCATGTGGTTAGGCCACGCCTTTCTTCCCAGCCCCCCGTGGGCAGACTGTGAGAACAGCTACATGGCCTGGCTGCACACTGACTCTGTAATCCAGCCGCGACTGCTGATGCCGAGCAGAAGGCACGCGGGGTGTCTCGGGCCCTACCCCTCCACACAACCGAAGTAACCAGAAGCAATGAGCAACACACAGTGGTGTTCATCAAGCAATTCCAAAGCAATCCTTATTTTGTTACAGAAGCCAAGCGGAAGCGCTAATCCATCTTCTCATCTGAATTCATGGCAAGCGGGTGGAAACTTCCACATCCTGGGTCTGTGCAAGGCTGAAAGCGCATCAGGTATCCAGGGCGAAAACCATCTGCGAGACGGGGCGGGCGGCCCGTCCACAGAGCGAGAGCCACCCTCCCGCGCCGGCTGCCGACGAGTACTCACTGGAATCCGGCATGATGCGCAGGTCGCCTTCTTTGTAGTCGTCCAAGAGCTGGTACATGTACAGGACAGGGTCTTTCTCGTAAGTGATGTAAAACCACGTGTTCATGACAGGTGCGCGTGCTAAGACCATCCCCCTCCACTCATCTTTAGAGCCATCCTCTGTCTCGAACATGTGCTCCACCGCCTTGCCAATCATCGTGTCCGCCAAGTGTGCATCGCTGATCCGAGACGTGGCTGAAGACCAACAAAAAAAGGGCGAGAGTGTCTCACTAAACATTGACTGAGGAGCCTACCGAAACTGCGTCCATGTGTCATGCTAGCAGGCATCAGGACCCAGGAGGACTCTGCAGGGTACACAACCAAGTGCAGACCGCTGGGCCCAGCCCAGAGCTGGACTCAGAAGCACCCACCCAAGCCAGCCAACCGGGGATACCTGCTTCCCTTTTTATTTTTCTGGGCTCATTTGCTCTTGACCCTGTACCCGAATCAGAACTTGCTACTGTTCTCACAAAGCACAGAGTGCTTTTCGCTGTTTATTTCACAGTTTTTAAATTGTAAGGTCATTTCAGACTTACACAACACTTGCAAAAATAGCTGAAGTCCCATCTATGATTCCCCTAACTCCTCTTCACATAACCACAGAAGCGTTCAGAACTTAGAAATCCACACATGTAAGGAACAGGTGGGCTTCTCTACGGAAAGAAAGGGCTCTCAGCCCTCAGGTTCTGTCTGTCCTCCTCCTGCTTCCTGGGTCTTCCCCCCTGCTCCTCCCTCTCCCCTCCCCCAAGTCTCCCTCCCCTGCTCTTTCTCCTCTTTCTGGGTCTCTCCACCCTGCTCCTCTTCCTCCCTTGGCCGGGAATGTTCCTCCCTCACACCTTCAGGGACCTGGCTCCTGCTGAGCTGGTTTCTCCTTGGGGGCTCTCTGTGACCAACCAGATCAAAGAAGCTCCACCAATCCTGGTCTCTCACCCCAGGTTTTGTTGCCTGGCAACATCACTATTACCAAAATCACCGTGTTTCCTGTGTTTTGTTTCTTCCTGCTCATCCCTGTGAACAGAGGCCTTCCCTCATTGATAGCTAGATAACAGCAGTCTTGGCATCTGTCATGTGACTTAATCAGGTGGCCCATGTGACTGAGCTCGGGTTTTCCTAACGATAGTCCTAACGATAGTCCTTTGCGCCATAGCCAGCTTCATCTCTTTAATACCAGAAAAACTAGGAAGGATCCTACTAATTTTAAGATTTCTCCAGTCCTTAACTATAGACTACCAGCTTTAAAAAACAATTAGCAACTATCACAGAAACAAAAACAGACTCATAAGAACATTTATCCTAACCCTACCACAAGGGTCTGGCAGCAGCAGGACACGCCCAGGGAAGACCACATAACATCAGCAACAGTACGTGATCTCAAAACAGGTGAAGCGGGGACCAAAGGGGGCCCAAATGTTGCCTGCACGATGACCACTTATCTGCCTAATCCTGAATTGTACCCAACATCTCTAAAATACAATGAAATAAAAACAATTAGCATTTCTATTTTTCACATTCATCAGACTTCTGTTTCTGTCCAATGTAATCAAAAGGAACAAAGATTTTCTGGACAAATGTACTGCTATCCAACTTCACCACATATGGTGGTTTTCTTTGCTTAAGTTTGCAGCACCAATCAAATCACACAGAATGTTCCTCTGTGCACTAAAAAGCCCTCACTAGTTTCTTTACACCAGCAGATCCCAGACTGTCAGATCTGAGGACTCTCTCTATATTCTTAAAAATAAAAAATTTTTATTATTAGAAAATAGAGTTTATTTAGAAAGTAAATTGGATGCATTCTTAAAAATTACTAAGGACCTCAAAGTGCATGTTTATATGAACTGCACCTGTCAACAGTTACCACCACAGAAAATAATAAATCTAAAAGCATTTGTTTAAATAACACCTACATTATTAAAATAACCATTTCCTAACAAAAATTTAGTTAGAAGGGTGTCAAAACTTTACATTTCTGCAAATCTCTTCATGTCTAGCTTTTGGTTTTTTTGTTTTGTTTTGGTTTGGTTTTTTTTTTTTGAGCCGGAGTCTCACTCTGTCGCCCAACTGGAGAGTGTAGGGCACACTCACAGCCACCGCAGCCTCAACCTGCTAACCTCAGGAGATCCTTCCGCCTCAGCCTTCCAAGTAGCCAGAACTACAGGCGTGCGCTACCACACCCAGTTTATTTTCTGATTTATTGTAGAGATGAGAGCTCACCAAGTTGCCCAGGCTGGTCTCGAACCCCTGGACTCAAGCAATCCTCTCATCTCCTACTCCCAAAGTGCTAGTATGGCAGGCATGAGCTACTGCACCTGGTCAGAGTGTTTTTCACATGTTCGTTGGATCTAGTTGGTTTACTGTGTTGTTCAAGTACTCTTTCCTTATTTATGTTCTTTCTGGTTCTTTTTTTTTTGAGATGGAGTCTCACTCTGTCATCTAGCCAGAGTGCAGTGGCACACTCGTGGCCACCACAGCCTCGACCTGGTGGGCTCAGGTGATCTTTCCGCCTCAGCCTTCCAAGTAGCTGGAACTACAGGTGTGTGCCACCATCCTGGCTAATTTTTTGATTTGTTGCAGAGACGAGGTCTCACCAAGTTGCCCAGGCTGGTCTTAGACCCCTAGGTTCAGGCAATCCTCTCGCCTCCACTTCTCAAAGTGCTGGGATGACAGGTATGAGCCACTGTGCTGGCCAATGTCTAGCTTTTTAAAAGAACAGCTGGATTCTTACATTCACTTCTGCACTCAATCTGTTCTTTGGGTGGATGGATAAAATCCAGCTTCACAAAGATATGCTATCGAAAAAGAGCGGCACACTTACTGCCAGGAAATGCTGGCTACTCGTCTATGAAACTACAAGACTCAGTCAGTGCTATAAAGGTTAGTTGCAATGCAGAATCTGAAATAGTTAATATAATTGTACTGTTATAACTCATCTGTCTTAAGAATATATAAAGAAGCCGGGTGTGGTAGCTCACACCTGTCATCCCAGCACTTTGGGAGGCCGACGCAAGACTGTCTGCGTCCAGAGATCCAAGACCAGCCTGGGCAACTTGATGAGACCTCGTCTCTATCAAGAATCAAAAAATTAGCCGGGTGTGGTGGTGCACACCTGTAGTTCTAGCTACTTGGAAGGCTGAGGATGAAGGTTCACCTGAGCCCAGCAGGTCTAGGCAATGGTGGCTGTGAGCCTGCCACTGCGTTCCAATCTGGGCGGCAGAATATATAGAGTCAATAACAACAACAAGAAAAAATCAAATAACCTGATCAAGAAACGGTCCAAGGACTTGAACACACATTTTGTCCAACGGTGATATACAGGTGCCATCAGTCACATGAAAAGATGTCCAGCATCACTCATCGTCAGAGAAACACAAATCAAAACCACAATGAGGTCTCACAGGAACAGGTACTGCTGAGAAGATGGAGAGCTGGAACTCTCATGCACTGAGCAGCTCTGTTTAAAATTCAGAATTGTCACAGGATCCAGCAGTCCCAACTCTGGCTATAGTCCCAAAGGACTGAAAGCAGGATCTCAGAGAGTTACACCCGCATTCACAGCAGTACCGTTCACAACCTGACACTCCACCAAGAGGGGGAACCAACTCAAATGTCCATGGTAAACGGAGAAACAAGGTATACACAAGTAACAGAGTATTATTTTCAGTCTTTTTTTAAAAATAGAGGCAGGGTCTTGCTATATTGCACAGATTGGTCTCAAACACCTGGGCTCAAGCAATCCTCCCACATCAGCCTCCCAAAGTCCTGGGGTGACGGGGGTGGGCTCCGCACCCAGACTATTTTCAGCCTCAAAAAGGAAAGAAATCCCACCACATGTCGCAGCATGCCTGGACCTCAAGGACGTGGTGCGGAGTGGCTTAGGCCAGTCACAACCTGGTAGCTACAGGGAGCCCCAGACAGAGACACATGGTGGCTGCCAGGGCTGGGGAGAGGGAGGAAAGAGGCAGTGCTGCTTAACAGGCCAAATTTCTGATCTGCAAGACGGAAAGTTCTAGAGAGCTGTTTCCCAACCCACACTGAGTGTACTGAGCACTGCTGAACTGGACACTTGAAAGTGGCTAGGAGAGTGCACTGCAGAGTATACGGTTTGTTTCCGTGTTTCTGCCCTGCGCTCTGCGCTGACCTTTCCCCAGGGCATACTTTGATGGCATCACACGCTGCGCACGGAGAAGACACCGTGGCTGCTGTTGGGCAGTGGGGGACTCCGCCATGCAACTACCTGCCCAAGAATGACAGTGAAGACAAGTGGATTGGCCCGACAGCCTGAGAAGACTCCCGACCCCACAGGCCTCTGCGACGACGCTCTGCTCCACCTGTGCTTCAGCCCCACCTTGGGCTTAAGAATAGCATGCGTCATCATACCCATGGTGTAACCTCTACCGGAAAAAACCAGGGAAGAACACTTTCCTCCTGCACAGAGCACAAAGGAACAGGAGCAAGCTTTTGCCTAAAGTGGCATAGCGAATGCAGAAGCTCAAGGCAACCATCTAGGAACTGAAAGAGGCTCATGCCATGTTGCTGGTCCACAGGAGCCTCCAGATTTCTTTGCCGAACTCGCATCTGTGTTTACAACAGCAACCCATGTCTACTGCTAGAAACTGAGATAACCTGCACTACAAATGACATTGTGTAATCTTTAATCCCATCACCAGAGACACTTATACATTCTCTGTCCTATGGTGGCAAATGGACTGACAGTCACAGACCAGGGAGCAAAAATCAGGACGTTTCACGTGAGTTAGGAGTCTTGCCCTAGAAGGGCGTGAATATTAAAATTCTGAGTCAGAAAAAGAATGCATGACAATTGCTTACCCCAAATCATTGCTGTGAATATTTAGTTAATATGTTTTACACCTCATAAGTAAGACTCAATATGTTAAAGTTTCTTAAATGTGTCAAGAAGAAAAACACATGTGAGAACAGAAGAAACTGTTAAAAATGTCAAAGACTCAATGCTACCTTTAGGAGTAATAATAGGGATTCAATTTTTAAAAAAGATTTCCCTGAAAACTAAACTATGTTTATACAGTACGAGCAAAGATTTAGCATTTGATCTCCAAAGAGAAGATTAGTAAAATAATGTGCTGCCATGGCAGAGTCAATTGCCCGGATGCTTTCATGACCCAAAAACGCAACTGACAGTCTGAAGAAAGAGAAAGGGAGGGGCTGGAATTTCTTTCCTTGACAATCTGATCTCCACATTTTTACCCAAGTCTAGATCTGCTGAAGTTTTGGTTTTTAATGGTAGTGACATTTAAACACAATTCTAAAAGCATCAATCAACATTTTAAGCAACCACAGCATCACTGCAAAGAGAAAACATTTCGAAAACAAGTAATTTGAACATAACATTCCTTTTCACTCTACTTAAAAATCAGTAATTATTCTTAACTTAGGTCTATGCCTCAAGGAACCTCTGTAAGGCAAAACTGGCACTGTGTGACAGAATAAAAGAGACATTCATTTCCACAAACAAATTCTCAGGAACCTGTGATAAAGATCAGGTTACAGTTGCTTAAATTTTGGCTCAAAGTACAGATAATTATCATTATACAGAAACACTTCATATAAAGATTCCAAAATAAAAACACATAAGACCCCCTTCGCTACTGTACCTGATAAAGTCAATACGTGCACAAGATGTTTAAGCTAATGATGCACAGTCTTACCCACAGGTTATCCAGATAATGATGAAGAAAAAGGTCAGAAACAATCGTATTAGAAACTATTCACCTATAAGCGTCCTGGGGGAACACTGCACAATCTTCACAGCCCTCACACAACTTCTTGAGCTGTGGTTTCAGAACGTCTGTTTTGGATCACTTTCGTGGTGCTAGGTGGCTGATTTAATCAAACACTTATCAGGAAGGGTGCTTTTTCCCACAAAAAAACATTGATAACATAAAGCAACAATCAGAAAGCATCCATTTCAGCATCATTTTTAAAGCACATAATGCACAAATAGTAAAAAGAACTTACCGACTCTATCAGGGAGGACTTCGAGCGCAGAAACTCTTTCATCTTTATTCAGTTCTAGTCCATAAACACAGTCAAATCCATCGTATTTTATAAGATACAAGGAAGGGTTTACAGGCACCTGGTCCAGAACGGTTCCTTTCCACTGGGTGACAGGGCCAGTCCCCTCCTTCCACCCATGCTGAATCCTGCAGCCTACGATGTTCCGCCGGGGCTGGGACACAGGCTTGCTTGGCCCCACGCTGCTCCGATGTTTTCTGTATTCATACACACACACACACACACACGTAAGGCATTATCTCAAAAGTGCGCAGCCCAGACCAACACAACCACTGGCTAGCATGCTCTCGTCACCAGTGGTCCCGAGGGACAGGCACACGAAAGTGCGCCACGCTCCCCCGCCTCTCCCCCGAACCAGGGACGAGTGTGCAACAAGGCACGTTAGCAACGGGAACTCATTCGGCACCCAGACCATGTACAGGCAGAAAAACCACCAGTCCGTAGCAACTTGAGTCCCACCAGGAAAGCCCCAGCTTTTCAGCTGACCTTCATTTAATTCAGGCAACTCACAATTATTCAAAATCAAAGAAAGAGAAGGGCTGACCCATGAAATAGATTACACCAATAATTACACATGCACATGACTTTACATGATTCTGTCTCAAGGCAAAAAACATAAAACTATTCAATTTTACCCAAGTAACTCTACCCTACCGGCTTAAACAGTAAAAATAAACTAGGTATTTAACCTTTTCTTAAACTGGAGTCCCAACCAGTTTATATCAATGCATTACATAATCGTTTCTTCTCTAGGAAACATACAACCCTAAACCCTGAAGTTTATGACAGGTAACATACTAGTAATAGGAACTGGAGAGCACCCAACTGCTTCTGGCTTTGACATCAGGAAAGACCTTAGTTTCACCTTGAAATGCAATGCCAAGGGCAGCCTGGCCTGGACACGAGCTAAAGGCCAAGCCCACCCAACAGCAGCCAACTCGAGCTAAGGGGAAGGTCAAGAGCGGCAGAGAATCCCTCCGGCAGTCGTGGGGTAGGAGGCTCTCATGGGTACACCAGGAGTCACAGTGATCAGCGCCTGACACACAACACCCAGTAAGTTCTGTGAGAAAACCATTTATTGTAGGCTGCAATATTTGAAACCACAATTGCACATACTCTCAATAGGAACAATGGATTTAGCCAAGTGAGGGGGGTGACTCGCAAACACAAAAGGGACAGGGGCACCAGTGCCGATGAGCAGCACTCACCCTGGAAGACGAACTCCACTGGGCGAAAACCCCGTCTAACCGAGCAGGCTGGGAAGAAGGTTCACCAGTCAAGGGCAGGACTGCGAGGCCCAGAAGCCCCTGGTGCTTTGCAAACACCCCATGAGCCTTCCTTCCCGGAAGCACAGGACAGACGCTGGGCAGGGCAGGACACAGGGCAGGAGAGAGGTGAGGGAACACCCAGTGGTGGCAGGTGACATCAGGAAACAGAGTGGCCCAGGGCTGGTCCCCAGCCAGAGGCGCCTCCTCCAAGAACCGTTCTGTGACCTTCAGCTCTAAAAGCGCGCACTCTCTCCAGTGGATTCCATTTCCTCACCTTCTTTCAGTAAGAGAACGCTCACCACTAACTTCTGCTGGCCTTTTCCCAGCACTGGTTTTGTTCTTCTTCTTGCCTTCTGTCTTCAGGTCCTCACTGTCCCTCATCTGCATACCTAGAACGACGGAGGCTTCTTTGCTTCCAATTCATCTTCCAGCAATGATTCTGAACTTTCCAAACAGCAAACCTACACTTTGTTTTTTCCACTAAAATCTACAATTAATTAAAACTTAGTTTTTCCCTCCTCATTCAAAGCAGGTCTAAAACCAAGCAAACAGAAGTCCTTAGTAGAGGAAGAAAAAATTAAAACCATACCTGGCTACTTCTATTGCTGAAATTTAGGCTTTTGTTCCACATTGTTATTTTTCATCTTGCTTCTACCTTAACAATAACATTGTATTATAGAAATAAGCAAGGAGGGACTTTTGTTGCTTTCTGCTTATGTTTTTACATTTTCTTCTTGTGTACACTGTCTTTCTAGATAGACCCTCTGGTCATTCTTTTAGAAATGCAAGCTTTCCAGACTCATGTAACTCTCAAAATACCATTTTGCCCTCATCCCTGAATTGCCTATATGTATAAGTCAAAATGAGGGCGGGGGGAAATCTTTCCATTTTCTTCTATTATCTAGTGTAACAGATTTCAGATAGCAATCTGATCCTTGTTCCTCGGAAAGGTACTTGCCTTTCTCTCCAAGTTGTTTCAGAATTCTCCTTGTTCTCAGAATCTGACATGTTGCCAGGATCCGTGGCACACCTTGTTAATTAATCCCCCCCAAAGGTGGTCGACTTCGACCAGCCCAGCTCTCCATGGACTCTCCTCCTTCATACCCTTTCATTTCTGGGTCAACCCTCCCTCGCACGAGTCTCCTCCTGAGGACACCCTCAGCTCCGCAGATCGTGAACGAGGTCAGCACTACTTTCAGCCAACCAAGTATCTTACAGAATATTTTTAATTTCTAGGAAGCAGGTATTTATCGTCCTCTCTTGAGTGGTTTTTCTTTGCAATGGTTTCTGCTGAGAATAATTCTCAATTTTTCCAGATTCTTCTATGATGGGTCTTCAGGGATGGGTCTGCTGCAAGGGTTTTCTTCACATATATGCTGGACCCTGGCTTTCTTTTCTGCTCTTACTGGTGACTTTCTCTCACACTTAGTGTTCCTACAAGGCCTGATAATTCCTGGTGTTCACACTTGACATTTAAAGAGACAGTGTGTGTCTTCTGCCCAAGTCTGAGCCGCTGGCCTGAGAAACAAATGCAGGTTCTCGTGCAAGACGCCATGACCCAGGCAGGGCATGGCAACCAGGAGTTAACAGGTGACTTCACGTTCAGGGAGGTAAGCCAAGCATCTTCACGCCAAGGTCACTGTGTCCAAACACCTGCCTCACTCCTTAGCAATTGGAACTCTGCTGAGCTGCTCACTGTCCAGTCCTGCTACCTCTGATCCTGGCAGGATTCTAGTTCGATTCCGAATATTCACTTTCTGGACATCACTTTCAGCACGACGGTTTCCTAAGCTTGGTTTTGATACAAATTAGTTCCTCTATGTTTTAGATCATCTAGAAATGTATATTGTTCTGTACCGCCATTAGGATGACCTTTTTACATTAAGAGACACAATAAGACCGGGCACAGTGGTTCAAGCCTTTAACTGCCTGAGCCCAGGGGTTTGAGACCAGCCTGGGCAACTTGGTGAGACTTCATCTCTACAATAAATCAAGAAAAATTAGCTGACTGTGATGGTGCATACCTGTAGTTCCAGCTACCTGGAAGGTTGAGGCGGAAGGATCACCTGAGCCCAGGAGATCAAGGCTGTGGTGACCGTGAGCATGCCACTGCACTCCAGCCTGGGCAACAGAGTAAGACTCCAACTCAAAAAAATAAAAAAGGATAACAACAACTTCACATTTGGATGATTTATTCTATTACAAATTATGGTGGAGGTACTATCTTCCATCTGCTTATGAAGCAGACGCAAGCTTTCTAGTGAACAATTTGACAACATATGCTCTTAGTCCTACCATTTCGAGTTTCCACTGTCCCACTGGGTTCACATCTAAGAATTTATCAAAAGAAAATAATGAATGTGCACAGAGATAAAGCCAACAGGGGAAATGAAAAATAAAAAACGTTCAACAGATCTCATTAATCAAATAACTGACAGTGTAACTCTACAACGAAATAACCACACAGCTATTAAAACCATGATGAAGTTTTTTTTTTTTTTTTTAAAGAAACAAGAGTCAGTCAGGGTCGCACTACATTTCCCAGGTTGGCCTTGAACTCCTGGGCGCAAGCGATCCTCCCACCTAAGCCTTCTAAGTAGCTGAGGCTGCAAGAACAACCATCAAACACATGAAAAAGAATTTGAAGATACTTTAAAACCCACAAACACAAAAAGTATGATCACATGAAAAATTTTTATGCACAATTATCCATACAGATACTTAGGAAAGTGTTTTTAAAATATACATTAAATTATTAACTACCGTAATCTCTGGATGATGGTATTACAAATAACTAAGTTTTCTTCTGTGTTTACCTGTGTTTGTAAAATTTCTTAAGCATTTCACTTTTGTAGCCAGATTAAACACAATTTTTAATTTAATTACAGTTAATACAATGTATATACTAATTCTACAAATAACTAATAATGAATTAATATATCTTAATGATATCAATTCCTACATTTCTTTCAGTTGCCTTTTTTTGGTCAATGCAATTCTTTTAAAACATCATTTTAAGAACTAAACCTATTCAATTTATTTATGAACAACTTAATTTGAATGAAAAGGCAAAGGGAACAAAACTGCTTTTCCAATGATACTGAAGGTAAAAATGAGTAATTAGAGTAAGATGTCACTTTTCAAAACCAAGAGTCTAGCTTCCCAGTTATGGGGTCCTCGATGCACAAGCTGCTTAGCAGCCAGACCTTACAAGAAAGAATGCTTAGAAAGCCAAAATCATGGTCAACATCAAGAGCATGGAGGCGAGCAGGTTGTCACTGACAAATTTATTTCAGTTCTTCCAAACAGCATCTACTTAAAGACAGGCTTAGAACTTTGAAGACACTAAGAATACCTGACGTCTGGGCAAGATGGTGAGAACTGTGAAAGCTGGGTGAGGAATGTGTATATTTACAATTTTCCACAGCAAAAATTTAATTATATATTAAACAAGCTTTTAAGAGAAATTGTGAGGCTGGGTGTGGTAGCTCACACCTATAGTTCCAACACTTTGGGAGGGTAGAGGTGGGAGGAGAGCTTAAGCCCAAGAGTTTGAGACCCGCCTGAGCGAGACCCTGTCTCTACAAAAAATAATACTAGCCAGGGGTGGTGGTGCATTCCTGTAGTCCCAGTCACTAGGGAGGCTGAGGCAGAAGGATCGCTTGAGCCCAGGAGGTCGGGGCTTCAGTGAGCAATGATCAAGCCACTGCACTCCAGACTAGGCAACAAAGTAAAACCTTGACTCAAAAAAAAGCCAGGTCTGGTGCACATGCCTATAGTCCCAGCTACACAGGAGGCTGAGGCGGGAGGATCCCCTGAATTCAGGAGTCCAAGGCTGCAGTGAGCTGTGATCACACTACCGCAGTCCAGCCTGGGTAACAGAATGAGACCATCTCTTCAAAGCAAAAAAAGGCTGGGCGCGATGGCTCAAGCCTGTGATCCCAGCATTTTGGGAGGCCGAAATGAGGGGACTGCCTGAGCCCATGGGTTCAAGAATAGCCTGGGCAACGTGGTGAGACCTCATCTCTACAATAAATAAATAAAAAATTAGCTGGGCATGCTAGCACATGCCTGTAGTTCTAGCTACTTGAAAGACAGAGGCGGAAGAATTGCCTAAGCCCAGCAGGGCAACAATGAGGTGGCCCAGAGAGTGCTACTGCACTCCAGCCTGGGTGACAGAGTAAAACTCCAATTCAAAAAAGCAAATACAAAAACAAAACTTTAATAAAAGTAAAAGCATGTTTATTTGAGTTAAAATAGTATATGTAAAAGCAAGCTACTAGAAACACGTCAACAGACTGGAGAGAAAAGAAAAACAAACACCTTCTAGTCTGGAGCATTCAGTCTAAAAGCATCCCAAGCAGAGATATGTGATAAACAACTCTAATTTGAAATGAGGGTTCTCTGAATGTAGTGATTTTAAGTTAAGTACTCTCTGGATACATGTAGTTGTGAAGCCCTTCAATCGCCTCTGTTTTCTTGGGAAAGAGTCTGAAATATTAACTTATCATTACCAGTTAGCAATACCCCTCCAAGGAGCAAACCTATAAAACAACTGCCAGGGCACCTCCTGCTGCCGGGACATCCTGAATCAGAGTCAATGATTAATGAACCAACAACGCAGGAGAAGACAGAAGCGAAATACCCTCTATGATCTCTTTCCTCATTTCTTACTCCAAAAACTCTTCTTGCAACAAATGGTTCAAGAACAAAACAAAGGGGTTAGGAGGGACTTCCCATCATTCAGGGTGCACTGGTGTCTTATGGCTAAAATGCTTCTCTTGTCATTTGGATTTGAGTTCACATCACGGCAAGCGCCTCCACGGCTGCAATTCCGTGTCCTCGCATCCACCCACTATTTAGCTTGGTTCCCTGGACTGAGACACCATTTTCAGTAACGGTCCAGGCCAGAGCTCCTCCTGCACCCAGTCACCTGCAGAGCTTGTGACGAGACACTCCAGACTAGTCGCCAAAGCCTCTGGAGACAGCAGCCTGCAGGGGACCAATGACGTCCAACAGGCTCCCACATGATGCACGGACCACACCCTGGGAAGCGCTGACTGGAAACAAGCACTAATGGCCATGTGTTCATGTCCCCAGAAAGGCAAGTCAATCGCAGGAGACATTTATGTACTCAGCTCAATGCTTCAAGTACGTTCTCAGAGTGTCATTCTAATTACTTTGTCATCAAGAAAAGAAATCCTGTGTTGAAAAGCCTTTCATCTTTTTACCAAGCCTCACTTAGTGGCTCAAGTAAACCACCATTCCCAATTAGCATTTCAATATCTTACTTTGGTAGCCAACACTGAAGACATCGTCCATGTGAAATTAAATTTCCCACTACCCCAATTCCACTGGGAACCAGCAAATGCCTGTCCACATACCATGTACTTTCCTTCCAGTCTAGAGGAATCCCCTTACTCTGGGTTCCAGCAGATCTTTGAAGAAAACGTGATTAAATCAAAAGTAAGGCTTTCTGTGGCTTGAAAATCAGCAAGAAGAGTTAAACTGCTTTGCTGATAACTGTTTTTCAGTTGTATTAAAGTCGTGTCCTTAATACTTTCACTCCCCAGCTTCAAGTGACAACAGAAGAGCAAGATAAACCACAAAGCTTTCCTTCCAAGTCCCTCTTCACTACTTCACCTACACCGTGCACGTGGAAAACCCCAGAGATGTGCTCCAGCCTGGGTGACAGTGAGACTCCTACCTAAAAAAACAGAAAATAAAAAAAGCCAGCCACTTAATGTTGCCAGACATCTCGAGCCTCCCTAACCCTTCAGGGACAGGTGCCCCTGCTCCAGCGCAGTTCCGATGAGGCACTCCCATCCAGAAGTAACACAGAGCGTGGCAGGAGGGAGGGTGTATCGTGGAGTCCAGCACCCTGCCCTGGGCCTGGACTCCTCGCGACAAGTGGAGGCAGCAAAGGGGGAGGCAGGTTTTGAATACTTGGTTTCCATAAAAGCTTAATTTGTAGAAAGGAACCCACGCTGAAAGGCCGGCTGCCTCACTGTCCTGGTCCAATACCCTGATTTCAGGCAAGAGTCAGCCAGCCCCAGATGCGTGAAGGAAGCTGCTAGGCCTTTCCGCCCTCAAGCCAGCGGCCAAGAGGTGGCCTCCCCCCAGTTCCCGCAACTCCCTCCCCAGGGAAGGCTCGCTAGCCACTATTTGCGAGCCACTATTTGCGAGGGTGGGAACTCTGGCTTCAGCTTTTCTTTTCCCTGTACCACCACCCCCAGGGTGAAGGGAAAACAAGAAACGGAACGGATGACTGTTCCATTCACTTCAGCCCTCCCTTTCGCCATCTAACAATGTGTTCAAGCCCTCCAGTCTTTGAGACAAGGATGCCTGGTGGAGCACTCAGTCAAGCTCCCCAAAACGTCGACACACAGCATGAGCTACCCTTTCAGTTGGCATGCGGTCACCCATGCTTTAGGCATGTTTAATAGGCAGACGTTCACTTCTTAAACTCTAGAAAGCCAAGCGCCCATGAGTTGAGGACAGTGCTCTTAGGATGAGACACATGGATCTTCCTCGAACAAAACACACTGACAGGTTCAAGGGCTAAAGCCTAAGAGTCTCTAAAATCCTAAGTACTGAGCTTTTAACCACAGAGGATTATTTAGATATGTGTAAAAGTAATTACAATGTACATTAACATTTTTAAAGCCTTTAACCCAATTGGCAAAATTTACTTTGAAAAACTGTTTTTGTCTTGCATACTTCAACGTTTAACTTTCCTTCTGTTACCACCATTATTTTTTCCCTCAGAGAAGAGGTCTCACCTTGTCTCCCAGGCTGCAGAGCAGTGGCATGATCATGGCTCACTGCAGGCTCCAACTCCCGGCCTCCAGTGATCCTCTCGCCTTAGCCTCCCACGTAGCTGGGACTACAAGTACATGCCACTATGCCCAGTCTGTATTTAGGTTTTATCATTACCTAACGTTTATGGCTCACATTTCTGTTTCTACTGCTATGTTTTATTTACATGGCTTACTACTTACAATAATGATATGATAACGCATGGAGACGTTCCTATAAACTACAGATCACTGGGTACAGCAAAGCCACAGTGGTGATGACACAAGAAGCACTCTATTAAACCTCGGGGAGTGAGAACACACCTTACCCCAACATTTTCACTTCCGGATGGTTTCTTAAACTGAATACTCCACTTGTTTACACTGTGCATCATGCAGTCATGTGAATGAGACTCGCCTGGGTCCATCAATAACCCTTAATGAGGGGTGAGGCCCTGCCCTCTGCCGCTACTAGTGTGGTGACTAAGGGCATGAGCTTTCAGGATGAAGAATTTGCAAACAGATGTTATAAAGAGTGTCTCATGGGCCAGGCTCGGTGGCTCAAACCTGTCACCCCAGCACTTTGGGAGGCCAAGGCAAGAGGACTGCCTGAGCCCCCAGGGTTCAAGAACAGCCTGGGCAACTTAGCAAGACCTCATCTCTACCATATCTCAAAAACAATTAGCCAAGGGTGGCTGTGCACGCCTGTAGTTCCAGCTACTTGGAAGGCCGAGGCGGAAGGATCACCTGACCCCAGCAGGTCGACGCTGGGGTGGCCATGAGAGTGCCACTGCTCTCTAACCTGGGCGACAGAGTGAGACTCCAACTCAAAAAAAAAGAGTGTCTCATGAAACCTAGTACATATAATAAAGTAAAAGCAGACAGTGTAGCTTAAGACAGTATCTCAATTTTCTTTTTTGGCCCGAACTACGTCACACACAAAAAAGGCTTTGAGAAAAAAAGGGGCTTCTGGCCCCTTACAGAATTTAGAACTGAGAGCATGTGCCACCCTAAATACATGGCCATGTAATCATCTTCTCACATGAACACGCGTTCCCTTCACACGCTCTTCTCCATCATCCCAAAGTGTCACACAGCAGTCCACAGAGGAGCCCTCCTAGGACAAGGCACAGCCTCTGTCAAGGGAGTTCTTCACACCGCCAGGAGAGGGGGCTGCACCCCAGAGTCCCTCCAAGGGGAGTGGAGGCAGAGGCTCGCCACAGCAGATCCTTCCTTCCACAGGCCCGCACCCACTCAGCTGGAGGTAAACTCGGAAGCCAAAGGCTTCTGGAGACTGAAAGGAGACCTGGTACACTTCAGCCGGGCCAAGGAGAGAGGTCTGGACTAGAAGACAATGCCAAGCCCTTCCTCTCGTTCGCAGGGGCGGAGCCACACCCGGCAATCACACATGCTAGACAACACAAGGTCACAATGTGCTGTCTGAAAAGAGGTTCCAGAACTGCTTACTTGTGAGACGTCCTCTTCTTCATCATGTTTGCAGACACTCCAGCATGGCCTGCAAGACACGAGTAGATGGTCAATGAACACTGGATTAAATACTTCAGAACACAGGAAGAACTTAGCTTCTAAAAAATGCCATACAGGGCATGAAAAGAAAATAAATCATTAACAGCAAACATGAGAGAAAGTCATGTTCTTACTTAAGCTTTTTAGAGACAGGGTCTTGCTCTGTTGCCCGGGTTGGAGTGCAGTGACGTAATCATAGCTTACGGCAGTCTCAAACTTCTGGCCTCAAGCGATCCTCCCGTCTCAGCCTCCTGAGTAGCTGGTACTGCACCACCAAGTCTGCTGGTTTTTAAAAATTTTTTGTAGAGATGGGTCTAGTCTCAAGGCCAGGCTCAAGTGATCCTCCCACCTAGATCTCCTAAGTTGCCCGCTGACAGGCATGAGCCGCCACACCAGGCCCGTTAACTTTTAAAAAGAAAATACACAGAAGGAATTCTGGGAAGACGGAAATGGCAGAAGCGACAGTTCCCCCCCCCCCCAAGTCAGCCCTAAGACACAGAACCAGTGCTTTGGTAACATGATGACCAGGGTTTCATGCTCACGAGTGAGACACAAGATGCGAGGCGCGCCTTCCTCACACACCGTTACGACATCTGAGGTGAAGAGGACCCACCTAACCATGGCCACGTGGACAAGAACTGCGACACAAAACGTGTGGTAATCCCAGACGTAGAGTGCCAGAGGGCAAAGAAGCATCTCCTTATCATACACAGCCGGAAAACAGGACGTGATACATGAGCCAGGTACCTGGTTCTGAACCCAGGGAGGAAGGCAGCGTGTCCACAGGGCCCGGGGGCAGAAAGACACACTTGGGGCCTTGCACGGACTCCGACTTCACTCCTGGAGCCGCTTCTGGGCGACAGTGTGTTAAGAGTGAACCGGGAAGAACACTGCTTTTGTCGGCTATGGGTCTGGATCTAGGGAGCATGGACGCCTATGGGCAAACTACCCGACGAGGGCGCCACGAGTCTGCACGCAGGAGGTGGGCTAAGTCTTGGGCTCAACACAAATCCACACTTCCACAATTCTGAGAAGTCCCAGAGGGACAGAGCTGTTCCAATTCCAGCAGCCACCTCCCAACACTCCAGGCCACCAAGACAAGACCGACGGACTGCACAGTATTTCACATGTCCAGCACCCCAGCAAAAGCGACTAGGCACAAAGTATCAGACAGCAGCCCATAATCAAGTGGGCTATGACCAAAATCACATGGCAGGGCAGGACATTAAGAGATCTTTCATACATATGTTCACATATTTAAAGGAAAATGCAAACGCTTAAAATAAAAAACTGGAAAACATTTTAAAACACCAAATGAAACCAGTGAAAAATACGTGATCTGAAACAAAATATTCGCTGGTCGTGATTAATAAAAGAATAGACCTGCAGATTAAAAAGATCTGTACACTCGACACAAGCAACACAGAAAAAGTGGGTGAAAACAATGAGCATGGCCGCAGTGACCTGTGAGACACATCAGCCAGCTTTACAGACAGGAAGCTGGATTCCAAGACAGAGGAGAGAGGACTGAGGGGTAAAGCCCACAGCAGAAACATGTCCAACGAACATGATACAAAGCAACAGCCACAGAGCCAACTAGGTTAACAGAGCCCCACTAAGAGAAAAAATGAAGGAAGCCACACCAAGGCCCCTCCTAATCCAATTTCTAAAACCAGCAACAGAAACTATCTAAAAAACAGCTAAAGAGGACAAGACACATTAAATATAAGGAAAGAAAAGTAAAACTGGCTCCAGAACTATTGTCAGAAACCGTGCACACCAGGAGACAGTGGATTAAATCTTCAAGGTGCCACAGAAGAAGCCAGTCAGCTACCCACAGACCAGAACATGACGTCCAGCAAAGCCACCTTCCAGCCAGCCTGCATGCAATGGAAATAGTCCAACGTTACAATTAAGAGGACATACATGAAAAAGAGCGCCAACTATTGTCAGACAAATTAACTTCAGGACAAACAATACTACCATAAACCAGATACTACCATAAACCAAAGGACAACTGAAAATAAAAAGTGCACTAGTCAGGAAGCAATAACCTTAACTACATATGAATCCAATTCCTGAAATGTATGAAGCCAAAACTGGCAAAATCAAAGACAAACACATATCCATAACTGTACTTAATTATGCAAGTCTTCCCTCTCAGCAATCGATACAAGAAGTGGAAAGAAAATCAGGAAGAATACACAAGTCCCGAATATCATGACCAGACAAGCAGTCTCGGTTGACAGTCATAGAACTCTTAACCAATATTGTCAAGATACACAACTTTTTCCAAGTTCAGGTGGAAATATTTACCTAGACACATCATATTGTGGAGTCACAAATACAAGACTTAGCATGCTATAAAACAATTTGAATTCATGCAAAGTATATTCTCTAACATTCACATTAGAATTAAACTAAAATTTTACTATAACACTGGTTATCAAGACAAAAAAATGAACTAGAGATAAATAACAAAAAGCTACCTGGAAAGTTCTCAGTATTTGAAAGTTAAACAAGGTGGGGTACAGTGGCTCACACCTAAAACCCCAGCACTTTGGGAGGCTAAAGTGAGAGGACTGCCTGAGTCCCCGGGTTCAGGACTAGCCTGGCAACTTGCAAGACCTCTTCTCCACAATAAATCAAAAAACTAGCCTGGTGTGGTGGCGCGTGCCTGTAGTTCCAGCTACTTAGAAGGCTGAGGTGGAAGGATCGCCTGAGCCCAGCAGATCCAGGCTGTGGTGGCCATGAGCGTGCCCCTGCACGCAAGCCTGGGTGACAGAGTAACGTTCCAACACGAAAAAAAGAAAGAAAATTAAACAAGTCTTCTGAAACCCCATGGTTCAAAGATAAAATCACAGTACAAATTTCAAATATTCTGAACAGAATACAAAAAAAAGCAAAGTATCAAAACGTACAAATGTAGCAAAAGCAGCATTCCCTGTGTTCACCAGAAATCCAAGTCCAGGTGAAGGAAGCATAAAGAAGAGAGAGCCCCCGCCGCCTTGAGGATGAGGGTGGCTGCAGGAGATGCCTGGCTTACCGCAAAGTCTCTCCTTGGCCTCAGAGTAAGTCCAGCATTTTTAAAACACCAATCTCTGTATCCATCTGACACTTAGAACTTTAAAAGCAAACCAAAGACAACACGAGGCCAGCAGGACCCGATGAAAAAGCACTGTTCTGGTTCAGAGGCAGAGGCAGCGAGGCCGAGGCCGAGGCCTGTACAAGAGCTCTGCCCCTTCACCTAGCACCACAGCTGCAAGAGGCGGGCAGGGCTTGGCGACAGCACAGGGAAGAATCCAGCGCACGGCAGCCCCAGACACAGGCTCCTGGCAACTCTACCAGAGGCATCACCGGGACATCTCTGGTGACAGATGTCAAGAAATGACAAAGGAGACGAAAAGTGAAAAATCCATTCACGGTCTATGGAACCGTACCAGGTCTCCACAAGCCCCTCCTTTCTAACCCTCAACACATACAACCCTGGCCGGTGTCCTGAGTGCTGGGGGCTGGGAAAGGATGCCTCAAAGGCTAAACTTCACAGCCGTCCCCGCAGAAGTCAGTCATTTATATCAAACAATCTTGAACCTCAAACAGGAACAATCAGCAGCCACACGGCAAGACTGAGAAGGACAAGAGCCAGCAAAACCACTGTCCCAGAACTAAAATGAGTATAAAGAATTGGCATCCTCAAGGAAACTGAAGATTCCATAACAACAAATGAGAACATGAGGCTATGAAAAAGAAAAACATGCTGGGCACAGTGACTCACGCCTGTCATCCCAAAACTTTGGGAGACCGAGATAGGAGGACTGCCTGAGCCTAGGAATTCAAGACCAGCTTGGGCAACATAGCAAGATTTTATCTATACAAAACTTAAAAAAAAAAAAATAGCTGGGCATGGCGGCACACCTGTAGTCCTAGGTATTCAGGAGGCTGAGGCAGAAGAATCACCTGAGCCCAGGAGGACAAGGCTGTAGTGAGCCATGATCATGCCACAACATTCCAGCCTGGGCAACAGCATGAGACCTTGAGAGGCAGACACACACACACACACACACACACACACACACACACACACACTGGGCAACAGCATGAGACCTTGAGAGGCAGACAAACACACACACGCATGCATGCAAAAACAGCTCTTGAATAAAGAGAACTTGCAATTTCTGGCCTGGTATTTAAAAAGCTTGGAAGTTACCCATCGGTCCCACAAAGTAAGAAGTTGGACAAACTAAAATACCGCCTCTTCTGAGACTGGTGAGATGGGTCAGAGAACTAGAGGTCACAAGGCAAATTAACTGTCACAAGGTCCAAAGATTGCAGAGACAGGTAGACAGAGACCCAGCTTACAGGATCAGAAACCTCCACAGGCACCAGTGCAAAAGTGAACTGTAATGGACACTGCTGGAAGGTCAGTAGGGACAAGTCTGACAGTTAAAAACTCAAGGGGGAGGGGGCAGAGGAGAAGGCCGTCACACTGCCTGAGGTCTGCCCCCCAGGATATGGGGAACCTGGCCAAGTCGTGCTGTCCCAGAGGGGTGGGGCGACGAGTCGCACAGCTGAAGGTCACAGCCCAGGGACATCAGCTCACCAGACGACTGACACCCGAGCCTAGGACCATAGAACACTTCCGCTCCCAGTCGCTTCCCAACACATTGCCAAAGACCTAGTGACAGCAGCTCCTTTCCCCAAAAATCATGTGAGCCTTCCAATAAGAGAATCCTAAGCATACTAAAATGTAAAAGATGGCTGGGCACAGAGGCTCACACCTGTCATCCCAGCACCTACTGGAAGATGGAGGTGAGAGGATTGTCTGAGTCCAGGGATTTGAGACCAGCCTGAGCAACATGGAGAGACTTCATCTCTACAATAAATCAAGAAGAACTAGCCTGGCATGGTGACGCATCTGTACTTCCAGCTACTTGGAAGGCTGAGGCAGAAGAATCACCTGAACCCAGCAAGTCGAGGCTATCTGGCCAT